GATTGCCCATCAGGAAAACTTTCCAATCGAAAATAACTCGATTTAATATAATGGTGATTGTTGAAAAAAAAAATCAGAAATAACCTTTCTTTGCGTTTGTTCTGCATCTTCTACATATAATAAAATGATTAAAATGCATATTCTACCAACTTTGTTTTCTAAAAATTTCAGGTCAAAACAAATGATCTATTCATATCAAAACAAACCCAAACCCAAACGGAGCGTGATTTTCATCGTTGCCTTCTTCGTCATTGTATTCAGTCCAAAACGTCTCGAGGATTTTCGCAGCTTTTTGGTATATTTCGTTGTTGTCATGACTTTGAAGATTCACAATCTTCTCAATTCCTTCTGCTTCATCTATCATTAAAGCGTAGAGGTTATCATCTCCTGTATGACCCAAGGTCTTCTCTGCTTCTCCAACCTCGAGAATGTTCTCTCGCGCTTCTAAGCAAACCGTTGTGATTCTTGGATCAGGGCAGGTAAGAAGATCGCATATCGGTTTAATACAGCCTTGGCTCACCATAAACCTGAGAAGAAACAAACAACAACAACAAAAAACATGTTTAATATTTGATCTTTCTTTTTAATGGAAAGGTTTAGTTTTAGTTTTTGTTTTTGGGTTTTACTTGATTTGATCATGAGTGCCACTAGAAGTAGCATTCGAGATTCCCCAAGCAGCTTCTTTTTTTACTTCGAATTCTGCGGTTTGAAGCAGCCAAACAAGAGATTGGATTATACCAGCTTCAATCATTGCCTGCACATTCAGATTTAAATCAAATCAGACACACAAAAGTTGCATTTGTCGACTAACAAAGTTGTTAAATGTCGTATGTAAAAAAAAACTCACTTGTATCTGGTTTGAATTCCTAGCTGTGATGTTTGAGATAGTCCAGCAAGCTTCCTTCTTGATACTCTTCTCGTAAGTGTTTGTTAAAAGGTTCAATAGACAAGGAAGCACTTGATGGTCGAGAACCGTCTGTTAGGAGAATAAGTTAAACGACCATTTTCTGAAAATGTTCCAAGTCTAATTGTGAAATATATTATATGCACCTGAGTCTGTTCATCATCACCGGTTACAATATTTCCAATGGTACGAAGACTGAAAATCAGGACTGATGGCGACGAATGGCTAAAAAATGAGTAGGAAGCACGCAATTCAGATAACATAATCACGCAATATTGCTCCCCATAAAAAATTAAAATCGCAATCAGATACTTACGATAAGAGCTTGATGAGGTGAGAGATGACGCCTGCATCGATAACTGCCTGTATTTTGTTGTTTGAATTAAAAGTGAGGTATGACAGAGCCGAACATGCATATGTGAGAACCTCTTCATCCGTTGATTGCACAAGGCGCTCAAGAATCTCTTCATCCGTTGATTGCACAAGGCACTCAAGAATCGGTAGAGCTGCTTTTGCCTGCTCAGAAATGTAAAGAAAGGACAATTCAGAAACATGTTACAAAAATTGTTTTATTTAGTGTGTATAATACGTAAACCTGTTCAAATGAAGGTTGTGGCTCCTCATTGTATAAGGTCATCAATGGGAACTCATTGTACAGAGACAGAAGAGGGATCATGCGGTATTTTGGTGAGTCTCCAGCAACATTTCCCAATGCCCAAGTCGCCTATATTTAGGGGAAAAACACACATATCAGACTCATTGAATTTACACTTTATACTGAGCTACAAGACAAGAAAGATAATAAAACAGATGAGAGTGGTGATTTAGAAATATACCACTTGGCGGACATCCTCACTAGCAGAGCTGAGAAGTTTGATGAATATCGGGACAGCACCACTTTTCACTATGGCTTTTGTTTCCTCTGATGTCCCTGAAGCAATATTGGTGAGCACCCAAGCTGACACAAACTAAACACAAGCAGAAAAATATGTATCAAAAGATGAATTATTGATGAAAACGAGATGCATATGTCACTCACCTGAAGTTCGGGAAAGTCATGCCTGGAAAGAAACGTCACCACACGAGGAAGAACACCAGTTTGTATAACAGCAGCGATATTAGGAGCATATACTACAAAAAAGCAAACTATATTTGTTAAAAACTATATAATCAAGTTCCCTCCATGAGAATGAGAATGAGAAATAAGATAAATCACAAACTAGTCGAAACCAGTGTCTGCAAAAATTTTGTTGATTTTATCTGTGAATCACTATCTTCTGACCAAATCCCAGCAACCGGAACTGGTAGACTTTCCATTAACTGCAACACAACAAAACCTTATAATTTAAAAAAAAAACACACACAAAAGTTGATGATGATTTCGGTGTTGATTTTCGACACCTAACTAGTTCTCTGGCTGTCAAATTCAATTATTCATACAACTAAAACCAGATTTCCTATAGCAACCTAAGTTTTGCTTGCAGATCAATTCGAGCAACATTAGTAATCTACAGATGCTCCCACCGAAGAACATAAGATAGTACAAATCAAGCATACCAAACCACGAAGAAGAAGACGATATATGAAACAAATACGATGAGATTGAAGCAAACAGTAAAATCCTACTAATTTTGATATAGGAAAAGCCCGTTCTTCTGGTACTAAGGTATAAATCAATATATCCTCATCCACTTTGCCCTGTCGCCTCCACCGTCCCTCCAACTTCACGATATCTGCCATCGATTGAAAATATCGGAAGAATTAGCGACAAGACAGTTTGGGAATTCAGGCGAGTATATATATATATATCCTATAACAATTATCAACTCTTATAGTTATCAGAAAAAAAAAATTATCAATTCTCTTTTGTTAATTCAGATTGGTAACATGGTTTGCAAAGAACTTAGTTCAACCGCTCGTTTATTACCAATCAAACGGTCTTTTGAAAAAATTGTTTGAAAAAGGCGATTGGAAAACGAAGTTTCAAAAAAACGTTTGATAAAAATATCGTTTGAACTAGACATGGATATTCGGATAACCATTAGGGTTTCATGTCGGTTATCAGATTCTCGATTTTAGAAATATAGTATCTACTAGATAGTTACCCGTGTTATACGCGGGATAATATAATATGTAAGTAAAATCAATGTAGCTTTACTTTAAAAAATAATATATAGTTATTAAGAAAATTATTATACAAAATCCATAACTCGTTTATACATATAAATTTTGTAATTATTTTGTATATAAATGTATAACACTCGTGAAATAATTGAAAACAACAAATTTTTAGTTTTTTCGTCAATATATATCACTTATTAATAAATGTATTTATTTAATCTTAATCTTTAAAAATACGGTTTATGACTCAAATATAAAAAATAAAAGATCACGAATACGAATTGAATCTTATAGGTTTAGCGTAATTATAATAGTGATAATGTAGTTTTTAAAATATAAATTTGGATTTAATTAATTTATCATAAATAGTTTTAGTTGCTATCCTAATCGAAATCTAAAATTTATTTTATATATATAAATTTTACAATTATTTTGTATAGAAATGCGTTACATCCGTGATTTTTTTTTTTTAAATAATTTTTTAGTCATTTTATATCGCTTATTTCTTGATTGATTCGAGAAGATGCTCTATTCTGTATTTCATTACAGGTTGACCATGTCGAGTCTTCCTCATCATATTCTCTCGGGCAATATTCTGGAGCAAACGCGCTTGGGGGTGGTCAAGAGCACGCTGTTCAAGTGAACGACGCGATTGGGGGAGGTCAACAAAGCGCAGTAGTGAACGCTGGAGCAAACGCGATTGGGGGTGGTCAATTGAACGCTGGAGCAAACGCGATTGGGGGTGGTCAAGAGCACGCAGTTCAAGTGAACGACGCGATTGGGGGAGGTCAACAAGGCGCAGTAGTGAACGCTGGAGCAAACGCGATTGGGGTTGGTCAAGTGAACGCTGGAGCAAACGCGATTAAGGGTGGTCAAGAGCACGTAGTTCAAGCGAACGACGCGATTGGGGGAGGTCAACAAGGCGCAGTAGTGAATGCTGGAGCAAACGCGATTGGGGTGG